GGAAAATACGTTTTTCTTTGATCTAGAGATCAGTTAAAATGTAAGAAGGTAAACAGAAAAGAGCTCAGAGGATCAAGAAGCATCTTCTGGTCTTGGTATGAAATAATAAACTGAACCATTTGCAGACCGTCCCTGACGCCGTCAGGGTTGGGTGAATTTTGTGCGTTCTTAGTGCAAAAGAGAAGCAGACGAGAATATAAAGATAAACCAACTAGATATACAATAAGCCATCTTAGGTGCAGAACATTTAAACTTTACAGGCAAATCTGAATGTTTGGGGTTAATATTTTACCTCCTTGCACCATGGAAATTAGTGCTGCAACAGCCTAATAACGCAACTTAACCAGAACTACAAATCATGGAACAAGTTAATCCCACAGCACCTTTTAAAAGCAAACAATGAATGACCAAACGTTTAAGACCTAGAATTAAACACGTACATTTGAGCATATTTAGGAATTTTTATGCCATAAATGTAAAACTTAACAAAAGAGCCCAGGAAATGCCCTTTACCCTCAAACTCTCCCTTTACCGTTTTTATTTTTTCTAAAAAATTCCACCTTTTACATTTTAACCATATTCATCGACTCAAAAAGTGTATAAATGTGGAGTGAATTTAAAATAATTCAAGAAATCAATAGCCAAAGAGTTTCCGTATTTACAATTATTCAACTTTTAAAAATATAAAAAGATGCTGAGGTTCACCAGAACATTGGGTGCTTTTACGAGGTATATGAAAATTTTTCTCTATATCTTTAAAGAAGAAACAACAACAAAAAAAAAATCTAATTTTAGAAAATAAACCAAAAGCCCATTAATTTTCAGTTTAGCTTTCATATTTGCAGGAATGACTGGGGCTCATGCCAGTTTGATGCTTATATCTTTGTGCATCCAGTCAATTTGCAGTTGATAAAAACTTACAGAAAATTAATTCTCCTGATTTATAAAAATTCTGTATTTTTCTGTCTAAGACTTTACTTCAAACTTCAAATTTTTTTTTTTTTTGGACAACATCACTGTTTCAACAAGTGTTTTTGCGATGGTTGACCATTTGTTTTCTGTCCGTGTGGAGAGGAAAGCCAAGCTGACCTCTGTCTAACCAGGAAACGGTAGTGAGGGGGGGGGGACGCTGCTGCCAAAACGGTGTGCACACTGAATATCTACTTTCTCGTTTGTGACATTTCACTCTCACATCAATCATAAATCACTCAAGATCAAGCATTAGTGTGTGATATACCTTAAGTTTTTCTGCCTTCTCTTTCTTTATCTGTTTCTCGGTTTTTTTCTGAGTCACAGCGATGGCCGCCAGCGCTGCTTCCTCATCTTCCTTTGAAGGAGCCGACTCTTCGTCATTATTCTCCTCCTCCTCCTCCTCCTCCACTAAACCTTCCACTTGCTCACGAAGATTTGTCTCCTAAAAAACAAAAACATTTCAAAATAAACAAGTGAAATTTCAGTGAATGTAAAAACCACTGCTAGGAAGAAGATTATAATAGAAACCTCTGTAGCTTTGTCCTCTTTATTGATGGCCAGCTGCCTCTCCAACTTGTCCTCTTGCTTTTTTTTCTGGACCTCCACCTGATGGGCTTCCTGGAGCAACGCCTGGGTTTAAAGGACAACAACCAGATGGTTTGGTTTAAATCAGCAGTGAAGCAGACATAACATCATACTGGTTATAATTTGACTTTCCAAACGAAGAAAATGTTGCATAATGAAATACGAGAAGAACAGCTTTCTCTGTCCAAGTCAAGTTGGCTGTAAAATTTCTCAGGTCTAGCAAAAAAAAAAAAAATCAAATGTTGGTGCTGCTAGGAAAGTCCTGAACAACAATTGTGCTGCTGTCATTTTAAATATTAACCACAGTCTAGGTAGGTTTAAGATTACATTGGTCTTGCAAAAGTATTCAAACTCCTGCTTCAACTGCACCAACACAAAGTAGCAAACAATTACTCAGAAAGAAAATGATGCACGGTTTTCAAAATAAAAAAAAATAAAAAAATAGGGAACTGCGGCTCAGGAGGTTGTCCAGAAGAAAGCCATGAGAAATGTAGCGGACACACAGCAAACATGTAAACAGACTGTGTTAAAGTTTTAGCAGGAACATTGAAACTGGTCATAGTTGATGAGAGATGAACAGAGTTAAATCCAGGAAAATCCTGGAAACACGTTAGAAGCTTCAAAAGACTCAGAACAATGACAACCATCCTAGTTGTTCTAACTTTAAAATATGAAAAGGTACAAAGGGTGTAAATACTTTGATACCACTTTAATAACATACAAGTTTCCTGAGAAGTCATATACTTTGTGTTTTGAGTTACCTGGTGGGAAAAGAAGTCCGGGTTGTAGGATCCACCCGGAGAGATCACCTCCACAGCAGGAAGAACGGACGGCTTCTCATTCAGCTTCTCTGGACGCTGGTGAAGAACCCCATCATCAACATTCACGCCCATGTGACTAATATATCAGATAAACTAAAAACAAACGACTAAAACAAACTATGGTTAGTCTCACCTTAACCAACTTCTTCCCAGTCTGTTGCAGATACCAGGGATCAGCTGAAACTTTGGCTGCAAAAGGAGAAAAGTTAATGTTGCATTGCAGCAATTCTATACAATTCAAGTCAATAATAAGTCAACAGATGGTATGTAGACCCTGACACTACAGGGGTGTGACTGGAAACAGAGGGGGGTCCAGTACATGTCCAGTTTGCACCCCATACATGTCCAGTTTTGCACCCCTGTTGCTTCAGCTGCCATTCAAACTTTTGATTCCTAAAAAATCTTTAGATTGTTTTCTGTCCTCAGATCCCAGAGGAATGTTCACACAACACTCATCTGAGCTCCAGGTTGGTCTTCACATTCCCACAAAGGAAATACTGCGAGCGCAAGGATGGGATCATCACTGGACACACACTTTCTCACACACACACACACACACACGTTTGTGTTGCTATCTTTGTGGGGACTTTCCATTGACTTCCATTCATTTCTACAGCCTAAACCTTACCTTTACCCTTTTCTTAACCCTAACCATCACATACCTAACCCTAACCAAAACTCAATTCATACCTTAGCCCTAAATCTGACCCCTGACCCAAAAACAGGGTTTCCCCACGAGGAGCGATTGGTCCCCACAACGTAGTATATGTCAGGAAAATCGTCCCCACAAGGTATTACAAACAAACGCACGCACGCACGCACGCACGCACGCACGCACGCACGCACGCACGCACTCAACTCACGTTCTTGTCCCCATATGTCGTAATAGTCTCGGTCTGGGTTGTTGTTGGCCTCTGTCACAGCCTTCTTCACGGTCTTGTCGACGGGCCGTCTGTTCAGCAGCCGTTTCTGTTTCCGTGGCACCACGCCTTTGGCTGCCAGCTGCTCGGCCTTCTGGGCGATCCGACGGAGTTTCTTGGCATTTGGTTGCTGGTAGGCCAGAATACTGACAGGGGAGGAAGAGGACGGGTTTAGCTGACTCTGCGATGCTGGAGGATGGAGTGAAGACGGCGTAAATGCAGCAGCATGACGAGCTACGAGGCGGGTGTGTTTCTAAGCCCTCAGATCCCAAGAGACTGTTCACACAACAGACTCCTGAGCTTTCTGACTGCTGTCTTCACATTTCCGAAAGGAAATACTGGAAGTGCAAGGATGAGATCATCACAGGACACACACATCTCTGGTCTCTAACATTGAAGTAGTTTGTTTAAAATAAGCTGAAAATGTTTGATTCATAAAGGGCTGGTTCATAAGAAATCTATATAAATCCTTTCCAGTCTGCTGAGTGATGGGACTGAAAAAATGTTCACTGTTATTTAATTCAGCTTATACAACACACCACTATAAGTTACATTTTAATTTCTAATGTAATAGTAGTTTCACTTCCCTATTTGTCAAAACAAGAACACTTATCTTAAACATAAATATCCTTTATGAAAGTGTGTACCTTTGATTCAGTGGTGCTGTATGATTCCATTTGTCTGTCAATTTCAGGTTGGTACAAATAATTTTTAGTATTTTTAGTATCAGCAAAGCTAACATTTAATCAGATAGTGAAAGCTTATGCTAACCAGGAGGGTTAATACTTTACTGTTGCAGGTAGAGAAGCTTTAGTAATCTTTTTAATGTTCCCCTCAAACATCAGAGAAGTAGAATTAGCTTGTAGCTCTAGCTCAGCTAGAATCAGGCTTCCTTCTGCAATTTTATGCTCTTTTAAAACTTCTTATTTAAGTCCACAGGAGCCTCATCCCAGATCAAAGGGCACACAGACGGTGCGAACAAATATTTGATCTGTTTAACAATGAGCCGGAAAAAGAAAGAAAAATATATATATTTTAATTGATTTATAAAAGGTCATTGACAGGTACTGTAATTCCAGAGGTGAGTGGACATAACTAGCTGTTTAAAGGAGAACAGGGCGATTATATTGCACAATAAAGTACTATACATCACTTTCCTGCAGTTGTAAAAAAAAAAAAAAAACAAATGTATATAGCAAAGGTGACTTGAAAGAAATTTGAATTTGTAATTTGATGTCTTTAAATTGGGGTTCTGCCTCTTTAAGAACCTCCTACTCTCTCCAACATTCGGACATCAGCACATCTTCACCACAATGCTTTTCGTCATTAATAATGTTCTTAGCTCAAAAAAGTCTATTTTACATAATATCCTCCTTTAAATGAGATTGGATGAAGAGAACATGTTAGAGTTAGGTGTAAATTAGGCTCCCTGTTCAGGTAAAAGACTGAAATATCTACTTTAATTCTAAGATTTACACAGTTTGCAGGTATCCTGTGTTTTTGGGCTGTACTTTTTTTCTTTCCAAAAACATTTTGATTTTATTCTTTTAATTGTAGTGAGGCAGAATCACATGTATGTGGTTTTACACACTTGAAGGAAGTTAACCTTCCATCAAAACACTTTATTTGTAAGGAGGAAATGGTTTCTTTTAATCACAGCTGATTGATACTTACTCTTTAGGAGGAGGAACCAGAGAATCTGGCTGAAGGATGAGGTCTATCCTCAAAGGACGTGAAGCTTTCCCTCTTCTCTTCTTCCCTTCATCAGCTTGTGGAGTTTCAGCTAAAAAAAAAACACACACACACAAACAAACAAACAAAAACACATTAAATAGCGAATTAAAACTCAGAAACAATTAATTTCCAACAGAGTTATTGGCCTAGGTCACATACTGTTGTAGTTACCTTGTGGTTGTGGTTTCTCTGGCTGTCCAAGATCCAAAAAAAACAAGCTGTCGTCTGTTTTCTCAGATAGCAGACCCCTGAATGAGAAAACTTATCACATTAAGACACGTTTAAAGCCTCAATATTTTCATAGAATCACAACAATTATTTGTCAACACGCTAGGCTGCAAGGTAAGTAGCTCAAAAAGGCACATGCAAAAGAGAAAACACAAAAAATAAACATAAAGAGTTGACACAGTTTCCGAGGAACTTAAAGCCTCGGTTTTTCTTCCTCACCCGGTGGTTCTCTCCTGGTGCCTGATGTCCTCTAAAAACTCATCTACGTCATTAACATCGCTGTATTTGTTCCAGTTCTTCTTTTTATTCTTGTTCACTCGTTTTCTCCGGCTACCAACAGACGCTGTCGTATCCGAAGGGGACTTAAAACTTAAAAATCCCGGCTGGGAGGAAGCCACGCGTTTGAGCCTCCTGCGAGCCGCCATTTTGAAAGAATAGAAAAACAAAGAAAAGCGTGACGTTTCGTCTTTTTTAAGGGCGGTGTGAAACCCGTGGCGCCATCTGCAGGATTGATGGTGTAACAGTTGATTTTTATCTAAAATATAGATTTTTAAATATAATAATCATAATTTACTAAATAATTGCAACATTTTAAATCAAATTAGATGTAATAAATTATAGAAATACATGTAAAATTATAAGAATTTAGAATGTTTTCACAAGTTTAAAATGTATTTTAATACAAATATAATAATAAACATATTTAAAATGTAGTAAATTGAAAAATTTATTGCCATGTATTCAATAGTTACTCATATTCTTAAGATTGTGTTCAGATAATTTATTTTCTTCTCATTTTAATTGTGTGACTTCTGATAAAGTTTCCATAAAAAATAACTTTTTAATTCTAAAAAAACAACAACTAGTAAATTAATCGATTGTAGTGACTGGTAAAAACTTGTTGGCCTACATTGCCTGCCTGTAATTGTTTACCATGTTGCAGCATGTGTGTAACATGTTACTGCCAAATGCATGATGGGAAATGAGTCCCTTCTTGCTTTCCTATGTTCATTTTCTTTTTTTCCCTCCCCGCATATTATTGCGAGAACAACGCTTTAGAGACTGAAGAATAAATTCGCATTTTGAAGCCGAAATCTGTCTCTGACTCCCCAAAGGTAAGCGTCACTGTTTGAATAAAAGTCCATTCTCACATTTAATGTCGTGTTAATCCCAAAATAACGCGGTTTTGTCGTTTATTTTCGGTGAAAAAAAGAAAACGCAGAGCTGTTGAGGTATTATGTGCCTGCTCGGGGAGTCAAGGGACCTGAGCAGCTCTTGTGATCTTGGTTGAATTTGACTCGAAAATGCGCCTAAACTGAGGGGCCATCTGACAAAATATTGTCCACCAACTGGTCCCCTGACATGTCTAGTTGCGTCTTCGAAAATTATTTCCCACTTATATGCTGAAGTTTTCTTGTTCTTCCGTCGTTTTTATCGTCTGCTTTTTTCGTTCGCGACGATTTTTTTTCCCTTCCCCTTTACAATCTTCTAGGCAGCAGCCAGCCATCGTCTATGCGTACGCTCGTTTCTCAGCACCGGGCAGCCGGCGAAGGCGGGATGGGCTGGTTTTCCGTTAAAATAGCTCATTCTGTGTAAAATAGACAAGGCGTGTGAGCAACCGGTGAGCCCACTATGAAGAAGCGAACGAACCCACGCTCAGTACTTAGAGGGTGGGCTTTACATGGTGAACGTTGCGTTGTGAGTGGTGGAGAGGGTCACAACGTCCCACCCATCGACATAAAAATCTTAATCTAATTGGTTCAGCCAATAGAGAGATCGGATCTGATTGGACATGTTTGCTGTCGTCATGTACGCACTTCAATTACATAAGCTACTGACGATATTACTTAAAAACGAGCTTCAGGTGCAGACTTTAAATAAAAAGATATTCCGATTCCGTTAAAGCCTGTTATGTAAAGTTCTATAAATTAAAAAAAAAGAAATGAAAAACAGCGAGCTAACCGTAAAAATGGAGCTCCACAGTGCTCACATATTGTACAATAAAAGAGTGGACTTGTTTATTTGAGTCAAACTTTGTTTATTTTCTTCTGATGATCAGTAACAGCCATGGCTCGTACCAAGCAGACCGCCCGTAAGTCCACTGGAGGCAAAGCTCCACGTAAGCAGCTGGCCACAAAGGCAGCGCGTAAGAGTGCCCCTTCCACTGGTGGGGTTAAGAAGCCCCATCGTTACAGGTGAGTGTAATAAAAAAATATATTTTATTTAGTTTATGAACTAAAAGGCATATTTTTTTAAGTGGTGTTCTTCTGTTTGTTTATTTATACTATTTTTTCCAGGCCTGGTACTGTGGCTCTGCGTGAGATCCGTCGTTATCAGAAGTCCACTGAGCTGCTGATCCGTAAGTTGCCCTTCCAGCGTCTGGTGAGAGAGATCGCCCAGGACTTCAAGACCGACCTGCGCTTCCAGAGCGCAGCCATTGGAGCCCTGCAGGTCAGCGGTGCTTACTGTGGAAAACTTCCTTCACCTGTTACCATTTTTTTTTTTTTTTTAAATCCTGTAATCAAATACTAAAGAGATGTTTGGTGATCTGCAGGAGGCCAGCGAGGCTTACCTTGTGGGTCTCTTTGAGGACACCAACCTGTGCGCCATCCACGCCAAGCGTGTCACCATCATGCCCAAAGACATCCAGCTGGCACGTCGCATCCGTGGAGAGCGTGCCTAAAGACGTTTCCTGACCTATGATATTCTGTCCTCTCATTTTCCTTCTTCTATATCTAGTAGTTTGGTTTGAGGTTCTATATATAAATATCTATATCATATGATTGTGATAACCGTAATTGTGTGATTATGTCTTCTGTGGTGCTACTAGTAGCAGATTTTCCATAGCAGTATCATCAACTATGCTTCAAACTTTTAATCTTAGTTCCAGTTAGTAAAAACACAGGAACACCTTGTTACCTCGACAAATAAGGTGTTTTTGGGGGAAATAAATAATGTTTTATCTGAAAGGGGCATAGGAATTAGCATTAAGGTGGACATTTTCATTCGAGAGCGGTTGACTAAAGTTATCTTATTTTTTTCCCTGTTTAAATAGAAATTAGTTGTACTAGTATTGATTCTTTTTTTTAAAACAATAATGGTGTATTTCTACTGTTGCTGTTCAGTGTATCAAAATAGAAAGAAAAATTGATTCTGGTTGTCAATTAGAAACGTCATGTTGTGATGACACTGCATGGTTCAGCAGACTACAAGCGGCATAGATGTAGCAGACCTGTGTTGATCATGTTTTAATTTGCAGACAAGTTGATTATGTCTGGGTATTGTTTTTGTTCCTCTCTCAGGTTGATACAATAACCTAATTTTTGTGCTTATGATTTATGTATTCGGTCATTTTTATGAGCAAAATATTTGTACTCTGGACTTCACATTCAAGCATAATAAAGAGTTTCTTGTGGTTGATAGAGCAGAGTCTGAAGATCTTTTAGATATTGTATAGTTACAGTGGGTCAAGACATTGGAGTTTCATGAAATTCAGATATGAAAACAAATGTATGAAATTATCTTATTTCTTTTATTTGAAACAGAATACAACATTTCTACTACTGGAAACATAATGCAAATTATTACAATTACTGTCCTATCTTTATCATGTTGTTTTGATACATAAGCTACACATGGTAAAATGTAGTTTCCAATTAACATGCTTGATGTGCAAAATATTAACTACGTACCATTATTTAATAGCTACTTTAGGAGTATAACAAGCAAATAATCAGTGAGAGAGAGCCTGTTGGAGCTTCACCTGCAGTAATGTACCAAACTTAAAAACAAGGACAGTCATGGCTTTATTTTTATGTTCTGTTTGTCTTGACAGGATATATTTTTCTAAAAAGCTGAATTTGGCATATTTGTAAACTAGGAAAAGTTCAGCGGTTTTCTTTCAGCCAGCTGACCAGCATCGTGCGACATGTGTGGGAGGGGGAGCATTGTGTTATCCCGTGATCCATCCAGCAAGAGAAAACCGGTATCTACAGCACATCTGGCATTTCATTGAAAAAATAAAATGGACTTTAGGGATAGTTTTACAAAGAATGTATATGATTTTGAAAAGTAGTTTAATATTATTTTATTTTCTCCCAACCATAAATAACTTCTAGTAGCCAAATATAATAGAAAACAGCTAAGTACTATGAAACATCTGCAGAAAAATACATTAAAAAAGTAAATCATTTATTTACTGTTTATTTCCAACAAGTAACGTCTCGCTTATAAAAGTTACTTTCATTACAAAAAGGTCACCGTAAGTCGAAGTTATTAAAGTAAACATCCGGAGATGCGTTTTTCCTCCTTCAGTCTGATTGATGTAAATCGTTTTATGCGGTGTGGTGTTAAAACCATCATTTCTCATTTAGTCGCTTACGGTCACCTCCATGTTCAACGCAAAAATGGTTTCAAAATGTCAAAGAGCAGCGGCACTGCCATAAATTCAGTTCATCTGATCAATATCCAAAGTCCCGCTTTATTAGGCACATAAAATAATCCAGAAAGTAGAGTGTGACCCCGGAGTGGCCCCGCTGTGTCAAACCGTGATGATCGCGGTGATGTATGAGCAGTGACGCAGCGGCCATTTTCCCGCTGGACGCTGCTTCCCATTGTGGATAGGAAGAACAAAACAGTCAAGCGAAACATTACTGACGACTTACACTCACTTTCACTACAGGTAAGTCATTCAAAACGTGTCCTTCTACAAATGTAAATAAATTACATATTTTTTTAAAGTTGTATTTTTTAAAATTCGTGGTTTTATTGTTGTGAAAAAGCGTTCGTTTCGTCGTGCGGGTAATAACAGTCAGCGACGGTGAAATGCAGTCTTTTCTGCAGCTGCTTGGAAGAAGGGGGAATTCACTTTCAAATTATGCGCCGATTCAGCTCGGTTCTACGCCGCTATTACGGACCATTCAGCTCACCCATACGTATCAATGCCTTCTTTGAAATGTCTTCTGACTTGTTGTTCTATTGAGTAATACGATGGATGTAAGGTTATTGGTAAAAATGAACTTGTTTATGTGCTACTCCCTCGCTTCTATGCCCTCGGTCTTTATGTCGTTTGCGCATCAAACCGCCGCCATCATCAGAGCGGGGTGGGCGGAGTTAGTATCAGTGGCAAGTGGCTGTCGAACCCGCCTACTTTTATGAACTCTGCTCAGCGATTGGTTCATAACTTCTTTTTTTGTAATTTCTTTTTCTAGCCAATAGAAACACAGTTTGTGATTGACGTTTATTATGCTGATAATAATCAGGATTGCCTTGTTTGTTTACTTAAAGAAAGGTAAGAACTTATTCAAGTAGCGACTGAAGTTTTAATTTGTTTATTAAATGCTTAGGAATATCCATTAGACTTAAAATGATGAGTGTTTAGGAAGTTTCGTATTCACTAGTAAATGTTTACGCAAAAGTGAGATCAACAGAATCAATAAAATAAAGATATTTTATCACATTTGGACTAGTTTTACCACAACACCATCTAATTTATTTCTCTTAGTTTTATATGATAAACAAGACAAAAGTAATGTTTTTAAATTACAATCAAAATTCACCATTTCTCTGTGAATTTTCAAATGAACTTTTTTTTAATCAAAGTGTCCTTTTAATCAAAGTGTTTACCAAAGGTTTTATTTCTTTAAGAAACGCTTTTTGGGCCTTTTTCTGAAGATTTATGTTGTTCTGTTCTGTAGTAATCATAGAGAAAAGTTCAAATTCTTATTAAACCTTCTGCTATTTTCCATCTGTCCTCTTCAGAAGTGATCAGTAACCGCCATGGCTCGTACCAAGCAGACCGCCCGTAAGTCCACTGGAGGCAAAGCTCCACGTAAGCAGCTGGCCACAAAGGCAGCCCGTAAGAGTGCCCCTTCCACTGGTGGGGTCAAGAAGCCCCATCGTTACAGGTGACACTGACAAGACAGCTTTAAGATTTGTAATTTTCCTGGTTTTTAACAAATCTAGGTTCAACTATTTTTTTTCTTAATATGTTACATGAAGGCCTGGTACTGTGGCTCTGCGTGAGATCCGTCGTTATCAGAAGTCCACTGAGCTGCTGATCCGTAAGCTGCCCTTCCAGCGTCTGGTGAGAGAGATCGCCCAGGACTTCAAAACCGACCTGCGTTTCCAGAGCGCGGCCATTGGAGCCCTGCAGGTCAGTATTGACATATTAGGGTTGAAGAGATTGGAAAACTATATAATTTGCTGCTTTTAATATTATACAAATATTAAATTAAAATTGAAAGTCTAACAAAAAATGAAAATGTTTTATGGTATAACAAGAGGTCAATAAAAATACTATTAATTTTTCAATGTTAAGTTAACATTTAGAAAACTGAGAAAGAAAAAAATCTGCAAAGCCAGGAACTTAAAACTTGTAATGGTGAAAAGTGAGTTATGTACCTATTCATAATACACAGTATTAGTATGGTAAATTGATAATTGTATGGCAAAGTTTTCCATAAATGTGAAAACATTCCTACCTACTTGCACTGTATATTGGAGTTATGCATTTGTTCAATCACTTCATGTAATAGCTAGGCCTGCCGCGATAAACGATAAATCAGTTAATCGCATGATAAATTAAACCTATCGACCTCATTTTAATTATCGGCTTTATCGTCTCTTCCTGTCTTTTTTTCTTTCTGTTGATGACACTGAATGAAAAAAGGCTCAACTCCGGTGCTCTTCCTTAGTGTAATGTCCAGCGCACGCTACACGAGTCATTGGTGGACTGTCGGCCCATTTTCAAAACCTGACAGAAATCCTAGGTATAACGGTTCGATCGGGTTCGTCGTGCCGTGTGGTGTCCAGCCACATGGGCACAAAATAATGCCTACAAGTCCAGTTAACTAATTTTAAAACCAGGCATTAATCAGTGCTTTATTAAAATCTACCTGTGATGGGACAGCAGGGATTGAGCGTAAAGTCCTGACTGAATGAAAATCATTATAACCTATTTATGTCACGTTAACGAAGAACAGCTGAAAACCTACCGGGTTTATCAACTGCGGTAGCAATTTGGCTCCAACTCCTCCCTTTGTCATTTCTATATTCTTTGCACAAAATGTTGAATAAATATTTATGTTGTTTCCAAATATCATCTCCAATGTCCGCTGGACTTCGGGTTGCGCCATGTCAGCTGTTTCGGATTGCCCTCCGTAATTTCCCCTCAAAAAGCACAGAGGAGAATCCTTGCTTTCTGATTGGCTACCTGTCACATTCAACGGGCTCCATTGAAGCTTCCAGTCGGGGAAAACCCCTGATTTAGATCAGAGCGGCCACGACGATCTACGTAACCCACCACACACTACAGGATGATCGGTTACGAAATCACCAGCGACAATCTTAGATCAGCCAACGATCTAAGATTGTCATAAGGAGAAAATAGGGACAAAAAAAATCGTGTAGTATGAACATTAGCATTAGGTAGTCGGATGTGCCCATCTTCTCTATTTAAATCTAGTGATTACTGAAGGGCAATATAGTATACAGAGTTCATATCTGCACTCTTTTGGTTGGATGCAGTATTTATTTCCACTTTGGCTTTATGTTGTTTAGTTTTTATTCAAGTACGTTTTTTGTTAATGGAGACTGAGAATCCTTTTTATTTTTGTTTTTGGTTGTTTTGTTTAGTTTATTAGTTCCAGTGTTATGTGTTCTTTTGAAAATAAAGTGTATCTATCTATGGCAGGAAATCGCATGCATTATTAGTCAATATTATCGTTTATCGCAATATTTTTTTAGACAATCGCTCGGCAAAATTTGTTATCGTGACAGGCCTAGTAATAGCTGCTATATTTAAAACATAATGAAGTTATACAAAAGACTCAGTGTTGAAATTAAACAGAATTTGGTTCAGATTTGTATTAGTTTAAGGATGAGTGCATTCATGCAAAAACATGGCATGTTAACAGCTGTGTGTATGCTTTTGAGGACCACAGTATTGTTAACATTAAGGATTCAGTTACTATTTTGACATATTTCGACTGTACAAATGATTTGTGTCCCACTCCTG